CACACACACACACACACACACGCACCCCCTCACTCACACACACACACACACACGCACCCACACACACACACACACACACACGCACCCCCTCACACACACACACACCAGCACGTACCTGGTACTGCTTCGTGTGCTTGTGCAGGGTGCGATGCGTCTTCTCCACCGCCGCTTTCATCGCCCAGAAGTTGATGTCGCTCCAGCGAGCGATCTTCACAAAGTTCCGCAGCGCCGTCTCGACGGGCGCGCGCTGGCGGTCGATCTCCGCGGCAACGCCGACAGAGAACTGCGCGTAGTAGGCGTGCGTGTTCCACATCACCCGCATGAGGGCGCCAGCATCGCGCGACGCGGCGGCGGGGTCGTGTTCCGACACGCTGACAAGCTGCAACGTGTAGGTGGAAGCACGGTTGTATAATCACACGTATGTTCGAGTGGTGCATATAAATCGTAAATAATATTAGTATTTTCATATATTATATAATTTTATCATATAATATATGTATTTTATATTTAGTTTTAATGTTAAGTATATATAGTAATTATTATAAATAGTATATAATATTTAGTTGATAATATTAGTATTTTTATATATCATATAATATTATCATTTTATATATGTATTTTATATTTAGTTTTTATGTTAAGTATATATAGTGATTATTATAAATAGTATATAATATTTAGTTCATAATATTAGTATTTTTATATATCATATAATATTATCCTTTTATATATGTATTTTATATTTAGTTTTTATGTTAAGTATAGTTTTTTGCAGGACTTTTGTACTTACACGTACACACACACGTGTGTACCAGTATATATAGTGGTTATTACAAATAGTAGATAATATAAGTATATAGGCCGAGGGTGAGTAAGATTGATATTATATATTAGAAGCTGCACATCTAACCTATATGTGCATGGTTATTATCAGGAGTTAATAAAGACAAATTTGTCTTTATTAACTCCTGTTATTATGTAGATTGCGATAACATGGTATTGGTACCTGGCAGTGGAAGGCTAGCAGCATGTCCAGCCGCGCATGAAACTCTCCCAGAGGCGATGACTCCACAAACTGCTGCAGCGAGCTGATGAGCTGTGTGATCGTCCCACTCTCCTCCTCTGCCTTCCGCTCCTCCCCTTCCCCTGCCTTCTCCATCTCCATCTCCTCCTCCTTATTCCCATCTTTCTCCTCCTCTTTCCCCTCCTGGAATACAGTAACACATGTGTATCATCCACTGCCACTGTCTGATGCTTCCACTATGAAGGCTGGTCTATCTATATTATCATTTTCACAATGTTTATCATACAGTGTAGTAAACAATGTATTTATCTAGCTATTGTTTTGTTTTTCATTAAATATAATTCCATCGCATAGGCACGTTAAAATAATTATGTCACATCACAGATAATTTTGATGAAGATGACTGCACTGCTACATGCAGTTACATGTTCAATCAAAACTCGAGCGAATATAGACAACGACCTCTACTTTGACTGCTATTGTCACAGGTAGATGGCGCTGTCTACTCACGTCTGCAGCGGCGGTGGTGGCGTCGGGGGAGAGGAAGGATTCAACGAGCGTGTACACGTGGAACCACCACTTTGACGCCTTCTGCTTTGTTGTCTCTGTGACAATGTCCAGACAGCTATTCCAGCATCTGCACAGGTTTAAATGACAGTGATAAGTATAGCCACTAATAGTACAACCTTACTACTAACCATAAACATAACCCTAACATTTATGCTAAATCCTAAGCCTAACCTCACCCTAGCCATAACCTTAACAATAACATCGACTCAAATACTTCGATTCAAACTAATTCTAACTAATTTAAACCCATAAACACAAACCCTATACCCTAACCCCAACCATAGCCTAAATACTCATCATAACCCTAACCCCAAACCCCAAACCTACACTTACTTCAATACTAGCCTAAACCTTGACTATATCACTAGCCCTAACCCCAACCCTACACAACCTAAACATTAACCTTATCACAAGATCTAACCACAACCACCCGCCCTAACCCCAACCTTAACTCTAACACTAACCCTAACCTTAATACTAACCCTAACCTTAATACTAACCCTAACCCCTATGCTAACCCTAACCTTACACTAACCCTACCCTAACCCTTACCCTAACCATACACTAACCTTACCCTAACCTTACACTAACCTTACACTAACCCTAACCTCTACGCTAACCTTGACCCCCTACACTTACTTCAGCTCCAGCTTCCTCCACTCTATGATCTGATGTGAGATGGCCTCGAGGTGAGCGAATAGCGACACCTTGCGGTGAGCGTTCTGCTCCCAGTCCTGCGCCTTGCCCAGGAGCAGCTCCAGTCCCTCGACGAATCGCATCACGGGGCTGGCGACGGAGAATCCGAGGATGCGGTCGATGACGACGAGAAGCTGCGACAGAGAAGAGGCAGAGACACGTGTTAATCAAGGAGACGACGCGCCGGTGTAGCAGATGAACAGACGACAGCGCGTTACTCACAGAGACAACGCAACAATCGAGTTAAAACTGATTCATTGCAAGATTATAAGAGCACTAACAAACGATATCATGAGGACGCAAGGACCATGATCTAAAAAATATCGATTGAGAAATGTTGAGATTAGATGTTAGAGATCAGGCGCTCAATTAATTGAATAAAATAAAATAAGTTTTTACTAGAAGTTCTCGCGACAATGTATTTTATTTAAAAAATAATACCAATTTCAACACAGGATGATCTGGCCAATCACCGAGCAGCTCCTTCACACGCTTCGCCATGTTGTCCAGTAGAGGGCGACACTTTACCGTCTCGCACACGTTCGGATCGTGATAAATGTCGAATGGACGAGAGTCCTTGCGGAGACTGAGAGGGGAATCAGGATTCTGGTCACTAACGGAATTGTGTAGGATGGCACACATCAGGAGATTGGAGCCCAGAAGATGCTTATCCACATCGGCATCTGCAAAATATATAATAATTGTAATAAAGATAATATAATATTTATTAAATTAATTAAAAATATTATAATATTAAATAAAATACATAATATAACATGTGTATATCATATAATAAATACTTTTCGGTAGTAATCTTAATATAGGACAAACCTGCTGCCATTTCAAATGGCTATTCCACCAAGAGTAGATTCGATTTGAATCTACTCCACTACATAAAACAGTATAATACACTGTTTGCATTTCCCTTTGTTCTCCACACCACAGCCAGCTCCCTATTTCTTAATTCTCTAATTTATATATTAACTTAATTATAAACTTATAACTTAATATATTAACTTATATAACTTAACTTAATATAATTAATATTCTTTTATTATAATTATCATCAACTCTAGCTCTCCCTCCCACCTCACGCTGTATTCAGCACATCAGCGACAAAGATTGCTCTCTCACCCATGACTCTTGCGTGTCGTCTGACAACGTCGGCCATCAGACGATAGGAGTCGACGAACGCTCGCACATCCACGCCGCCATCTTGCCGCGAGTCATCGCGCTGCGGTGGCGCCCTCCACCCGGCGCGCGTCAGCCCGCGGAACACCGCGCCGTGCGTCGCCCTGATCGTATCCATGTGCTGCTCCGGCAACCGCATCGTCGCCTCCTCCGCCTCCGCGTCACTCGTCTCCATGGCAACAGTGGTGTCCTCGTCGTCGCCGAGCGTCGGCCCCGCAGCGATGTCGGCGAATTCCTGCGTCGTGAAACAGAGCGTGGAATTTTTTAATTTTCGTAAAATTTCTAAATGACGGAGAAAAATTACTTGGTCGTGCGCATCAAGTTAGGAACGAATTCATTGTTTTTGCCTTTGTTAATTTAGTTAAATATGTATGGAGTAAATTACAAGTGCACCTTTGTGCCAGTTCCTATGGTTCTATACTAGTTACCTACCACTTAGGAATAAATTCATTAAGTTAAAGTAACTATTGCGAGAATTTTCCAGTGTTTTCCCCACTTTCATGATACCTACCGTTATTGCTTGAGTAACAGCAATTGTCTAGAGTAACGATAAAATGTCTTGCCAAATCATGCCCGATTAAAATTTTGCGTTCTGTTTCTGTTTACCATTGCCATCTCTCGGACTTTCTCGCGGTAGCGCGAGACATCTATCACGGTGCAGTAATGCATACCGTCGCACCGTAGAAATCAGGTCAGAGTGTAAACACAGACGTTCATACTAGCGTAACAGCAGTGTAGTACTAATGCCACGTAAAGTCTGTTATTAGAGAAGCTTGTGGATTGCCAGTCAGATAGTAACACGGGAATGACAATGACAGAAAGTGCACTGAATTATTGACATAAAAACTCAATAATATTTACCACACAGAATTGCATGCCCCTTTGTTTTAATTATGTACACTTGATTTGAAGACGCCATTTGTGATTTTGAGAGTTGGGACACGATAACATTTATTGCTGGTATGATGTGGTCAAATCAATTTTTCTATGCTATAACTGCATAAAATCTTGGTGTTTTGAATGTTGGTATAATCAGTAATATTTCCACTGTCAGGTGAGACTATATTCAGCTATATTTAGTTTTTCTGAGCAAAAATCTCGCAATACTCACTTTAACTCCCTTTGTTAATTTTAGGCATGGGTTAAGTTATGAGCGCACATTTGCGTGGTGTTCATATACCTTCTATGCCAGTCACCTACCTTATGAAACTCTGGAAAGCGTTTTCTGAATTCGACCTCATCCTGCTGTTCCTCAGTCAGCTCCTGACCGTGAGTCTGAGATTTATACCTGCGGCGAAAAAACCCTTAAACTTCTTAATGAAGACTACAAGCTATGCCATAGCTACAACCTTACAGGAGCACTGCAACATTCTATTACAATCACTAAATACAGTTATAAACATAGCGATACAGCGTGACATACGTAATTTCAAATTATAATAAAATACAAATTAAATTTTATATTAATTCACTTGCTTGAACAAACTGGCGTCCACCTGCTCTTTAATCTTCGCTGCTTCCTCTTGCCGCCTCCACTCCTGCGCAAACTTGCCGAACAGGCAGCAGAGCATTTTGAGGTTGCGCTGAGTGAGGGCGCCACTGTCCATCGCGTCGTTCTTGGTGTGCTCCAGTGAAGTCATCAGAATTCTATTTCATAGAATAAACATGTCACTTGTTATCATGATTAAATACTTTACTCCTCCACCTCACCTCCTGTTCTTCTACTTGTTCTTTTTCTTCCCCTGATAAAATTCATTATTCCGCAGGAACATATTCACGTAACATTACTTTAATGTTTCCGAATTATCAGATTATGTTTTGTTATTGGCGTGGAGAATAAGTGATTGCATCGTATCAACGCTATTATTTTCAGACTCACTTCAGCAAGTTGCCGTCATGCGCGTCACCCGTCCCGAACAGAGTCAGCGCCCACTGGTGGAAGTTTTCGGAAACCAACGTCTCTGCCAGACGGAGAGAATCAGTGGCGATGCTGCTGCCACTGTACGGCAGTGGCAGACAAACAAACTGACGAAGATTCGAGAACTCGGACGACGGGCACACGGCCGCCAAATTCAATGCTTGCAACCCAATCTGGCGCTCGACTGCCTGCGTTGCCATGTCAACGCCATACATCATCTGGAAAAGAAAGGAAGACATTTATTACACAGATATTATTTTGTAGAAACTGCAAACACTTCTAATCAAAGCGCAAAAAATAGTTAGACAGTAAACACTGGGTGTGTCTTATATAATGCACGATGCTTTATAAAACGCAACAAGGAAAAATTATGCTATAGTAATTAGATAGACACCTGGTAGATGGCAGCACCAGTAGGTGTAACCAAGTCCTTGTAGAGTGGGTAGGTTGTCAGCAGACGCTGAACGAACTTCTCCTGCGATGCCAGCCACGCCCTCAGCACTGATAAACTCACCGAGGCTTTCTTCTGAAGGGGAAACACCAAAACATATTACCTATAATAGAAGCTAAAAGTTCACAACCACCTCAGATATCATCATCGCACATTCATTTTTAAAATGGAATATTTTCACAGTAAACTGTTTAGATACCTACAGTTAAATGGGGCGATCATGGATCATGGATGATTTATGAATGGGGTGACTAATAACACACCTATAACTATAACCATAGAAATAACAACAACAATAACAATAATAATAATAATAATTAAGACAACCATGAAACTCGTACCTTTTTCCTCCCCTCTGCCAGTCCCTGCCAGCTATCCCTCAGTTTTCCCAGCAGCTCAGTGACTTTCCCCACGGATCCAATCGACCCCAGGTAATGCCGCAGGTCCTGAACGATGAAGTCAAACTGAGGCGGCGTCGGTCTAGCGGCGACCATCTTAGATAACGCGGCGGCAGTGCCACGCAGTTCTTCGAGACGACCCAATAGATGAGTCACTCGAGGGTGACAATCGGCTGCCGCAGTGGCACCACCTGCCGGGAACGCCTCCTGTGCGATCTCGAAATTTAATGCCTGTCTCTCCGTCTTCGTCGGATGCTCATCTGTTTCCATGTCGACCACATTTGTGCTGCTATTGGATGGTGGCTCGCCCTGGTGATTCTCTGTGATCAGGTGCATGCCCGTTTCCAAATAATGCATCCAGTTGCGAACTTTCAGCTCTGTCTCTATTTCCTTAATCTGATGAGGAAATAGTAATGAAATGTGATGCCATGCAATTTAATACAATGCAATAAGTGCAATGTAATGTAATGTTATGTATTGTAATATAGTATAATGTAATGTAATATAATGCAATGTAATGTAATATAATGTAATGTAATGTGACATAATGCAATGGAATGTCACATAACCTAATGTAACGTAATGCAAACAATGCAATGCAACACAATGTCATATAATATAGAACACACAGTAGAACGCGTAAGAAATGTAATGTAATGAACGAAATGTAAGCAATGTAACGTAACGAGCAAAATGTAAGCAATGTAACGTAATGAGTGAAATGTAAGCAATGTAACGTAATGAGCGAAATGTAAGCAATGTAACGTAATGAGCGAAATGTAAGCAATGTAACGTAATGAGCAAAATGTAAGCAATGTAACGTAATGAGCGAAATGTAAGCAATGTAACGTAATGAGCGAGATGTAATAGAGGCAAAGACCCGAGCGCCGCACAACAATACCTCCTCCTGCGCATATCTCAGCTTCACTTTTCGCTTCTCCGCGGGATCCACCGGCTGCCGAGGAGCCAATAGCTGCGCCTCTAGCAACCCCAAGTACGCCCACGCCAAACCGACGAGAAACGAGCTCTCTGATTGGTCCAAATCGGCCACAACAGACGAATCCGAATCCCGGACGAGTAGTCTCCCTGCGACCTCGCAGAGAGGTGCGGCTGCGTGAGCGAGGTCGGCGGGAAGACTGCTCTCCTCTATCAGCAGCTGTACGGTGTTGCGTAGTTGTGGGATGAGTTGCCGGGCGTCCGCTGCGGGTTCGGCGTCTGCCGAGCGGGAATGCACGCGTAGCAGGCAGCGCGTCAGGTGACCGATGCTCCGGCGTAAACTCACGAGCTCCGACGACCTGCAGCGGAGACAAATTACGTCAGAATCCAGCCACGAGGGGTTAGACATGTGCGAAGGGATACAGCCATCCCTACCAGCCTACAATCATATACAGTCCAACCTTCTTTATCCGGCCACGTCGGGACCGGCACCCATCCGGATATGGGATTTGGCCGGATATGAGAGCTATGCTCAAACAGCATTCTATGCAGTTCAGTAGAGTTTATGCATGTGATAATGTATTTACTCGTTGCTATGATTATTTGTAACAAACTGTCGTGTTTTATGGTTTATATGAAATAGAAATAAAATGAAAAAAAACAGAAATTTTAGCGGAGGCATAGCGGACACGAGCGGACAACACACACACACACACACACACACACACACACACACGCAGGCATGCACGCAAACACACGTACGGTTGGTACATCGCGCGAGTTTTGAGCAAACTTTGAGTGTGTTTTGAGCGAGATTTTTAGGTGGAAATGAATGAAAAGCAGAGAACATACACTGCGAGATCGCGGCCGGTTAATAGAGATTTCCGGATAACGAATGGCCGGATAAAGGAGGTCGGACTGTAGTGAAAATACCAGCTACAATATCAGAGATGAAACTAATTGAGATAAAATTATAATACAGATAATAGAGATAAAAGGGATACAACCATTGCTACAATCATATAGTGAAAATACTAGCCACAATATTAGAGATGAAATTAATAGAGATAAAATTATAATAGATGATAAAAGAGATCAAAGGGATACAACTGTCGCTATACAATCATATAGTCAAAATACAAGAACCATTAGCTATGACATTTCCATTTTGGTGCCCTTTCTCAGTAATATGTTTCTCCGTGTGGAGATAGTACCTTACCCTAGTACAAACCTAGAGTTTTCGGGGTTCCGATCGACAAGCGCAGAGTTCTGCCAGAGCAGGGTGGAGAGTTGACGGAACTGCCGCCTCTTCTCTTCCAGCAGACGCAATGGCACGGCGATCTCCTCCGTCAGCTGCTGGTTGCCTAGCAACAGCGTGATTGTGCTGAACGTCTGCACCGGTTGCAGCAGAGCCGCCGGTCCCTGCAAAAAAAAACAACCCAAATTTTACGTTTATCATGAGCAATTCCTGCAATGGTGAAGTGGAGGATAGGGAAAAATGGAGGAGAAGAGTCCACTGCAGCTACTTGAGTGGGACTAATAATGCGAAGGAAGAAGAGTGAGCTATTCCTGCAATACGTGTCTGATATCTCATGAATCAACAGATAGAGTAATGGGCACACTGATTTTTTGTTCACCAGCGGTTACCCATACAGGACGGCAGCATCAGTTTAGAAATTACATTTTTCGAGGCTGATTCTCATATACAGAGTTGACTGCATATATGCTTTACCAATCGTATGGCTGGTGGTTCGTCCTGTGGAATCTCCTCTGCTTCTCTATGCTGTTGCCATGCCAACCACTTGTCGATACCCTGTGTTGCCGTACTGGACCACAGACGTTGGAAGTGCTGCACAAGTATAGTCGAGGCCTCCTGACGCAGGTACAGCGACTATCAAAGACAAGAGAACATCTCAAGATAAGGACATAATTATAGGCTCTTATACTACAACATATGTCACCCACAATCGCTTCAAGAAACGGAGCAATTCTCGAACATTCCTACAAGCCGACTTATTGATCGTGTCTTATTGTTAGCAATAAATTGAAGGAGTTGGTGGTGTGAGCCCGCTGTCAAAAACAAAATTGGTCTCACCATCAGTCTCATAACTTTTTCACGTAGACCTGACCTCTATACACTGCGCATGAGAAACCAACGTGTAATTAACTTAACCCTATTTCTGTCAACGTACGTTATAGGAGAAAAAAAATAATGTTAAAACTTAATTTTGTTAATAATTTTGTTTCTGCCAATGAGCCCCTTGCTATGGACATGGCGTAGACAGTCGTCACGCTCCAGAACTTACTCTAATCTCGGAACTCTGAACTTCTGCAATCTCTCCTGAATACTATAACGTTCACGAATCGCGACAATCGCAACTCACCCTATCGTCTGCTTCCTGGAACCGTGCCAAGTTGACGAGATGGCCGGGCGACGCGGGCGTGTGCGTCATCGCGAAATCCACGTGTCTGGCAACGACGGACAGACGAGTGTCGGTGACGTCAGGCTGGAGTCTGTTGATGATGTCAACCTGACAGAGCAGACTCACGTGGTCTGTCATCGGCCACAGCTGAACCTGTAGATGCAGACAGTGTTAACCTCGCAGCGAACGCAGAATGCAATCTTGCATGTATTACACAGACACGGGGCATACGATACGATTCCCTGAACAAAATTCTGAAAGCAGCATTCCATGCAGATACTATACATACCTCTATGCATTGATACATAACTATATATGTATATATACCTTGATATATGAGTGTACATAGTTTGAGATATAGGTAGTTCAATCAATTCGTAAGTGTACATACTCTAGTACATACCTACACATACTTTGAGACAGAAATAGTATACAGATCACTATATATGAGGAAGGAGGCTGAATTTTAGCACTACATGTGTAGAAGTCCACGAGAAGTTACCTTCATCTCGACCGAGGAGCTGCTGGTGTCTCCTTCAGGTTTCTCCTCCTCCTCCTCCTCCTCCTCCTCAGCCGTCGCCCCTTCCTCGCCCAGCAACCCCGCCTCTCCCAGCGCGCTCTCCGCCTCGCAGATCGCTCGTGATACCCACTCGGCATCGCCACCGTCCGCGACGGCCGTCAGTGTCGCGAGGAGCAGCCGCCGTGTCGCCGCGACGTTGCCGGACGCGAGCGCGCGCACGCGGTGGCGCCCCCCGGTGGCGGCGACGCGCGGGCACAGCCGCGCCGCATTGTGCGCAGCGTCTGCCACGCGGACGTCCGCGTGCGGCGGCGGTCGACCGAACACGGCGGCCATCTTGCCGAGCGCCCGCAGCAGACGACTGTCGACGCCCAGCAGCTCGCGAACGCGCGCCGCCGCCGCCCGCAGCGCCGGCGCCACCTGCCCGGCGACGTCCGCGACGACGTCGAGCGTCCGCGACTCGAGCCAGTGCCAGTGCAGCCGCAGCAGCGCCACCTGGAGGCCGCCACCATGGCGGGGGGCGTCAGCGGCGCAGACGTCCCAGAACCGTGCTCGCCAGCGGAGCGCGTCAGCGAGGCGTCTCGCGTCGTCGCGAGACAGCGCCTCGGGTCGCGCGAGGCACGCCGAGACGGCATCGTCGAGGCTGCGGAGGAGCGGGTAGAGGTGGGGCACGACGGGGTGTGGCAGCGCAGGGTCGTCGGCGGCGACGTGGCCCGCGTGGATCGCGCGCGACACCCGCAGCAGCGAGCCGAGACGCACGACCGCCGCCGGCCCCCGCCCGCCGCCGCCACTCTCCTCCTCCGCCTCCAGGTGGCACCGGCCGTCGTACGCCTGCTGGGCGAACCGCGCCAGCAGCGAGACGGCGTTGAATAGACGCGAGATTCGCTCAAAGGTCGCCTGCAGGTCGCGACCCTCGCCAAGGTCGTCTCCGTCAAGGTTGTCACAGCCAAGGTCGTCTCTGTCAAGGTCGTTATGGCCACGGTCACCTCCGTCAAGGTCATCGTGCCCAAGGTCGCCACCAAGGTCACCGGCGGCGCGGCGGCGGCATGCACGCTCCACCCACTGCGGGTTCAGCGAGGGGTCGAGAGGCTGCGCTGTTGCGCGGTCGCCACGGAGACGCCGCTTGCAGGCGCGGATGCGCGCGGCGGGGGCGGAGGCAAGCGCGGCGTCAGTAACCGCGGCGACGACGCCCCGCAGGTAGCGAGCAGTCGCCGCGCGCGCGCCGAACGTTGCCGCGACGACCGACTCCGCCCACCACCGCCGCGCCGGCCAATCGTCGTCGCTCGCCCGCTCCAGCATGATCACAATCGCGTGCGCGCACATGCTCACCAGCTCGCTCTCCTTCTCCTCGCCCTCTGTAAACATCCGAGCATCCGACGCGTCGCGCAGCCCGTGCGCTGAGAGACTCAGTGCCGGCGTCTGTCCAGTTGCCACGGACAACCGCGTCAGCAGGTGAGCAAGGAGCACACCGTCGCGTCTGACGGTCGCCATGGTCGCATCGGACGCAAAGTCGTCGACGGCGGGCAGTGGGTGTGGCCAGGTGGCGCACTCTAGCAGCGACGACCGCTTGCTGCGTCGCTCGATCTCGAGAAGGTCGAGAGATGAGACGCAAGCCTCGACTATCTCCTTCGCTTTCTGCAAACAAAATGGCGACAGAAAAAATATGTGAGAAGTTTACGAGAGACGTATAAATAGTAAGCAGAGCAGAGATATATATAACCGGCAGAGAATATAATAGGCATATTATATAAAAGAGCATACTTATAATAGGCTCATTAAAAATTTCTGCAGTTATCGGCGCATTAATAAACTCTTGACCATACATAACTCTGAATTGATTCATTACAAGATTTGATTATTTATGAAGTTTTGTCACAGTTTCAACAATTACATCTGGCGTAGCACATCTATCAACAATAAACAAACATGTACACACGCATGTACGCACACACACCTTTTTGTTCACATTATTGAACTGGTTTTTCATGTAGACATCGCGACATGCTCCATAGATGGCACTAGGCAGCGATGCGCCGTGCTGCATGTGCTGCACGGTGAGTCGCGCTGACTGAAGCAGTTCGGCTAGCGAGCCGCCTCCTGAAACAACAGAGCATTCATCACATGATAATTATACTTATGTCTGTTCATCACATATGCTGCTATACAGATGGCCACATAATTTCACTATCACATTTTGTCTATAACTTCACATAATTTATACATGGTGCCTGCATTGCTTGCTTAATTTAGCAAAATTTCATGCGTTCTTCACGATCATTGTCAATGCTCTACGTTTGAGCTCTAGGTCTGACAATGTCAGCTCTACATTTTCAAAGATTAGGAAAATTAGTTATAGTTAATAAGTTAATCTTTTTTCTCACCGTAGATGGCATGTCGTATTTTGTTGTTCAGATCTATGAGATAATCTGACGGCACGCTCCCGACCAATCCTAGGTTGTGTAACATCAGCTTAGTGTCACATCGGTCGTAGAAACTTTCTTCTCGCTAAAATAAGCAATAAAAGCGCAATAATTCACCATTTTTCCACGCTTCTTACACCCTAATCTACCTTACTACTTATTATTATTATTACTACTAATTACCTTATCTAGCTTACTAGCTGTAGGTGCTAATTAGTAAGCTGTACCAAACCCTAACCCCATACTTTTACGATTTATGCACCAATAATTACATAATTTGACCTGGCAAGCTTCAATCATACGTGATCTTCAATAAAAGTTGGTCATAACAACTATTACTATGTATTATCAGGGTTCTCCAAGCTTTTTCATTATAGCATGGCGGGTGCTGCCTTTACGGTCCTAGTTGCAAATCGCCGAAGGCGGTTTGCGTGCTAGGGGGGTCCGGGGGCTATGATATTTAGCATATGGCGGCTATGATATTTAAAGTGGCGGGTGCATTTTAGGATGGCGGGGCTCGACGATAGCCTGGCGGGCCGCCAGGCTATAAGTGCTCTTGGAGAACCCTGATTATGTAATGAATTATGTAACTATATTATTATTATTAACACATAACTCATTATTAATTCATAATATTTATGTATATTACAGTATATATACTATTATATCATAGATATAATTATCGATATTATATGAAATTATGTACATTATAATATAACATTATTACGTATAAACTATATTACTACGTAGCTAACCAAACGTTTCGACGACGACGACTTCACTAACCTGTCCCAGCATGCAGATCTCGACGCCCCTGTTGCGCATCGCTCGCGAGATCTCGCCGTGACGCGGATCCATCGTCAGGAAGAGCCGGAAGTCGCGGTGGGGTCGCACGGAGGGCACGTGGCCGTCGACGACGCCTCTCTCGTTCATGCTCAGCACGCCTCCCGGCTCCAGCAGCGCGTTCAGACGATCCAGCACCGACGGACTGTAATGACGCACGACCTTTAAACATGGCCGCCGACGGCGGGAGCAAACGACGACACGCCGCAAACTGCAACTGTGGTGAGGCGACTGTGATCGTTGTGTAACACGGTTACATGACATTCAAACATGGCCGCTGACAGAGGCAGCAGACGACGGCACGTCACAAAGTACATTACTCGACTGCAGTGGTGCGTCTGACTGGGCATGATGTAAGGTGTGTAACACAGCACGGCGGTACCCCCTAAACACGAACTAACACCTGGCATGATGGCAGCAGACGACGCAGGACAAACGTGTTGCGACTGTAATCTGACTGCGATCAAGATTCTATGTACCGGTACATAAACACACACAGTTTAATGATACCCCGAACCTGTATCCACGAGGATGTTTAACACATTCAATGACATCGTACCTAACATAACTCGCATCCATGCACACGGAAATAATTAAGCTACAACGGCTAATTACATGGAAAACATTTGGCACTGTGACAACTACGGCCGTCAGGCGTCTGCGCAAGCAGGGGGGAGCGTGGGGGTCGTACTTGCCTGCAGAAGTTGACATTGTCGATGAGTAGCCAGTCCCCGGCCCGCAGCGCGCGCACCAGCACGCTGTCCACCCACTCGAACACGCCACCGCCGTTACACGAGCCCTGCCGGTCAAGGTCAGCCTCCAGCACCAGCACGCGCTTCTGCAGTTCGTCGATGCCCTCTAGAAACAATGAACGTTTTCGGTCTTTTCTTGATTTTTTCCGTATCAGTTTAAATCTCTAGCTAATCGTATTAATTAAATTATATCAGTAGTGATAATATTAACGTGTGCATATATCTCATTACAGCACAATAACACTTACAACACAGACAGTCAGAATAGAATAATTCATTTAATATGACAATTTATTACATTATTACAGTATATTATTAATATTTATTGGTTAATTATTGTTTTGATAAATTAGAATGACTTGCCTGTCGTCCCCGTGTTACAGAAATCCGACCAGCGTTGCATGAGCGAGGCAACGCTCTGGGAGACTGTTGGTGACTTCTCTACCAGTAGATTCTGCACCACGGCAACCACCACAGCCTCCACATCAGCAACCAGTGGCTCCAGGTGTCGATTGAAATCAGCCTACAAGCAACCATCGATACTTCCGACTCTTTTCTCATTCTAAGCTGCGTTCACACGAGATTCACGGCCTCGCTGGTTCCGTACTTATCTGGTGCTGAATTCGGCTGAAATACCGTGCTAACATAACCCGGAGCGTTCACACGAGAATCGAGGCTTAGCTGGCTAGGTATAATATAGACTGGTACCCGGTCGACAGTTCCACACGCTACACTAACGTCGTGTAGCGAACGGGTACCAGTCTAGGTAAGCGCACTACAGTATGAGGCCTCGAATTGCGTTCACACGACAGACAATACGCGGCCAGCGTGGTGCCGAATGTGATTCCGCGCCGAATAAGCCGCGTATTTCAGTACGGTACTGAATAAGCCGCGTATAAGTCTTGAATATTTTTAGCGTGTGAACGCTCAGTACGGAACTGAAATCCTCGTGTGAACGCAGCTATATATATATATTCTTTACATTATATATTATATTGATACCTTCAGGAGTATTATCCTATAAGACACATACATAACTTTCTTCAATTTTCATAATTTTTTATTTCTAATTCATTCACGGCACTGTTTGTGAGCGCTCCTGTAAGGACGCACACAGACAAAAACAAAACGATTATCCCTTTCGGCCCGCTGAAAAATTAGAAGCAAATACATATCTAGTGAAAAAATATAACAATAACTTTCCCATCGACCCACAGAAATATTCATATGTGCGACGGCTAGAGAGTAACTGTAAACTTAAGCAAGGCACAGACAACAGCATTCATCGTGCATTCAGCATTAACTGCTACCACAGCATGCACCACGCACTACCTCCTACATGGCACAGCCACTATAACATGGACTAAGTTCATCACCACTAACTAACACCGCATTACCTGTTCGAATCCTCCCAGGAGCTCGGTCGTGTCCATGCCACTGTTCATCGCTAGTACTTTGAGCGTACGACCGGCGAGTCTAGCGAGCGCGTGTACGACCGAGGTCTTACCGCAACCCTGCGGTCCAATCTACAACACATAGATTGCAACTAGATCCAGCATGTCAGCCGTGTATGAGAAGGTTGGCTTGTAATAGTTAGCACTTAGCTAACAGCTTAGATTTACATAAACACAATGAAACTATATAAATAATACATGACTCAAACGTACACGAATAATGATGGTGATAACAATAACAATGAACTAAATAAACATAATCAATAAAAGCCACGTCGGCGGCGGCAACCATGACAACACGTCTGCAGCGGTAACCATGGCAACCTACCAGTATGGCCATCCAGCGCATGTCGACGCACTGCATCAGCGCCTCCATCGTCGGCAGGTGCTGCCGCAGCAGCTGCAGTGGCGCCCCCTCGTGGCGGCGCACCGCGCCCTCGTGCGCGCGCCTCGCGAGAAAGCTGTGCCCGACCTGGACGGTTTCCGTCGTCACCGCCAGGTGGCGCGACGAGTCGTACATGCGGCCGCCGAACGTCGCTTCGTAGAGCGCGTGAACTTTGACCTCGTCGTCACGCGTGCGCATGCGCGCGGCGTAAACAAGGCCTGCGTGCTCGCTCGGGTCAAACCGCTGGCCGTCGCTCGCTCCACTCACGGACTGCGATAGAGAAACACACGGGTGATGGTTCGTCTGCTTTTTACCCCCACATAAGGAACCGTGAATATATGGAATCAAATAAATGAGACAATCATGATTGAGGGAGGTCATCTAGGTCAATATTGTAGTATTTTTTGGTGGAATTGCTAAGCTAGCTATTATCCCTGAGGATCCTAGATACCCTAGAGATAATAATGATAGAAATATTTTTTGCTTGTTAATGCACCGTTATTCAGTTTGTGGATAGAGTATCGATTCCTCAGTAAGAATAACTTATACCGAACATATGCCAAACTATGAATAACAACACTGCCTAACCCCAACACCAATTCCTAACCCTATCCCCAACTCTAATTCCTAACCCTATCCCCAACTCTAATTCCTAACCCTATCCCCAACTCTAATACCTAACCATATCCCCAACTCTAATTCCTAACCCGATCCCCAACTCTAATTCTATTACAACCAGAATCTCTATAACTGCTAGCAGGGACCTTCCAAGCCAGCCTTAGTTTGTTACAGGACTTATCACCTGGTTCTTCATTATCAGGTCACACCACCTGAAGACGTCTCGCAGGTTGAACTCCCACGGCGCCCCCTTCTGGCCCCACTCGGACGTCAACATCGTCTGCCGGTACATCTCGCTGTTGAATTCCACCATCTTGCTTAGAACGTCCAGGGGAATTGTGGGATACAGCGTGCGAGTGATGAACAATAAGTCGCCCGGCGTCAGGGGTTCCACGAAAACCTGAAACAACATCGCAATAAAATTACGTATTATTACGTAGTGTATTTTTATTGTAGATGTGATAAAAATGAATTTTTTAAAGCATTTTTTTTAAATTGATTTAAAATTCACAAATATATATACCTATATATTTATATTTAATAGATAAATATAGAAAGAGAAAAGAAAAAGAGAGCAAGAGAGGAAGAGAGATTGCGAGCAAAAATAACGCAGTGAACTGAAAGCTCTACAGAAAAACACGTATAAACAATTACAAATTCATTCCCGCTAGCAACACGAGTCACCGCAACACCAACAACACCGTCAACGCCACTCGCCACCGACGACGAAACCACCATCAAAGATCAAAGGTCAGAGCGTCAGAGGTCAAAGGTCGTCACCGCGGCGTGCACGCTCTCACCTGTGTGAAGCGGTTGAGGAAGGAGCGCGGCAGGCCCTTGCGTCCGCCGCCCTGCCGCAGCGGGTTCTGGCACGCGAACACGCGCGTCCGCTCGCGATCCACGCTGAACGTGCGCCCCAGCTCAGGCACGTACGCCTCGCCGCGGTGGTCGAGGCACGCGTTGAGACCCTCGAGTACGGACTGAGATGCGAGGTTGAGCTCGTCGAGCGCGATCCAGTCGCCCGCCTCCAGCGCCTCGAGCAGCGGACCGTTGCGCCACGCGAAGTGGCCGCCGCCAGCGCCCTCTACAGGCAGGTCGGCGCCGAAGAGGTCGGAGACGTCCTGCAGAGGTCAAGGTCAAGGTCACGCTTAGGTCAAAGTTACACTTACATAGGCATACTTGCCCGTGACTGCGTGATTTTTCTGCGTGAGACGTTACGAGCAGTTATAAATATCTTAGACGCAAATTATCTGAAATGATCAGTTTTCGCCAACAGCACATATACAGTGAACATGTCTTGGACATAATGTTATGTGTCAACATGAAAGAAAATAGAAATAAATAAATGAATCAAGTTAATAGAAGTCTCATGTTACCAGCATTATTACTCTTTTAAATTTACAGCAGCCACACAACCATATAACACTAACAATGACAACAACACCCATATGCTTATATAGGCATTTAACTTGACCCTAACCCCCTGACATATTCCTTCCCCGACATGTTATGAGCAGTTACAAATATCTCAGAGCCAAACTATCTGAAATGACCACTAACAATGACAACAATAGCAACAACAACAACAACAGCAGCAGCAGCCTCACACCTGTCAGCCTCACACCTGTCAGCCTAACACCTACCGTCTGCTCGGACAGGTTGATGCGCACCAGCCTGCGTCCCGCCGCGCGCGCGATCGCCGCCACCAGGCTCGTCTTGCCGACGCCCGGAGCGCCCTCTAGTAAGATGGGTCGGCGGCTAAGCTGGAGCGCTCGCAGAACGCGCTGCGCGTTGCTGCACGTCGTGCGAGCGTGAAGCGCGTATCCCGCCGATGTCGCCGCCGCGTCCGCTTCCCGCGCAGGCCCTGCGCGACACGAGAACAACGTCTGTTACCTTGGCGTTATCGGCCGAAGTGCATTTATTTATTAATATTTATTTCTGATTAATTTCCATTCCTGTTTGCTGGTAGCAAAAAAAGCGAATAAAAACTTTCTGCCCGCCTCCCAGCACCTTTCCAGGACCCCACACCCTGCCCCCAGCCCATACCTGGCACCCACTCCCCGCTGACAACCTTGGCAGCCCCGGCATCCCCCGCACCCCTCTCCCTGTGGCCTCCCCCCGCATCCCTCCCCCGCGTCACGCACCTCTCCTCAGGTGGAATGGTTCGATGACCAGCTCCTCCTCGGTCAGCGTGATGCAGCCGTCCGGCGCTGCGTCCGCCTCCCCGCCGCCACCGCCACCCACGCTCAGGGATGTCAGGTCCACCGCCGCCGCGCCGCCGGTCAGTCGGCTCGTCTGCTGCGCGAGGAACGCCAGGCAGACGCCGCGGTCGGCGCCGGCATCGGCGGAGCTGCTGCTACCTGCGGGCGACGAATGGAAACGATTAGACGCGCGGCAAAATAACACTTTACTGTTACAATTTTTTTACTGTTTAAATCGAATGCCTCACTGTTGAGAAACACGTGGCCCGCAGAAGTCAAGGCAAGCAGTCGACTAAGGAGAGACTATATTAATGCAGGAAATGGAGAGAGTGAGAGGGATAGAGAAGAGAAGATAAAATAAGAGAAGAGAAGAGAGGTGAGGAGAGGAGAGGAAAGGAGAGAAGATAAGATAAAATAAGAGAAGAGAAGATAAAATAAGAGAAGAGAAGATAAAATAAGAGAAGAGAAGATAAAATAAGAGAAGAGAAGATAAAATAAGAGAAGAGAAGATAAAATAAGAGAAGAGAAGAGAGGAGAGTAGAGGACACAAGCTCACCGGATCCAAGGCCATCAAGGAACACGAGGCATGCACCGTGCACGTATGCGACCGCCGGCTCCAACAGGGTTCTCCCCTCCGTGACCTCCTCCCCCTCTCCCTCGTCTCCTCCTCCTCGCGCGCAGCAGTTGATGAAGTCCACCCAGGAGAGGATATCCCTGATGCTCACCGTACACCTACCCAGGTGAACAAGAGAAAGAGTTACTACAGAGAGTTACACCCATTTATACGTTTAGCGTAAGAATTAAGTAGTACTCACGCATACAGTACTGTGCTGTAGATTAGGGTAGGCTTTACGCTTGCGTTTTTTGAGAATTTATTCATTATTTCATTATTTATTGATTCTCACAACTAGAACTCAGAAATTCAGAAATTAACATATCTGTTTAAGCACCACTTAACAAATACTTATTCGTATTAGTTGTTCGCAAATACTCTCACACATAGTTTTCCGTATGTTTTGCGTTTCATTGTACATAATCAGCAGTTTCAGTTTTTTTTGCGCTTCGACGGATTTTCCCGTCGGCGTTAAACAAGTGTCACCTCTTCCCGACGTTGCTGCTCGTGAACCACTGCAGGAACTCTACGATGGCGCCACCTACGCCGCTCGCCCCGTCCTCCTGCGGACTTCCAAGCGCAATCCCGCGTCGCACATTGTGTTCTATGATAGCCACCAGGTCGGCGTTACTGTTGCTCTGAGGACACCAGATCTCTGTGAAGCGATTGCGCAGCGCGGGCGACAGCTGCAAGAAGAGATGCACTCTTGTTGTTACCCAATAATAATAAGTTAATAATAAGAAGAAAAAGAACAACAACACCAACAACAACAACAACAACAACAACAACAACAACAACAACAACAACAACAACAACATATTTTATAATAATTTCAATTAAACAAAAAAAAAACCATTATAACAAATATTATATTATTACAAATATCCTATGTTTACAAATGATACACTATCACTAATTATTTCATCATTAGTTTATAATAATTTTAAAAATATATTAATATAACAGCTACCGCAGCCCGTGCGCTACTCTCTCTCGCACCTCCTTCTTTCCAAAGTCTCCTCCCGGGTTCATCGTCGCGACGACGCGAAACGTCGGCGCGGCAACCAACCGCTCCACCTCCCCGCCGCCGCCGTCGTCGTCATCGGTGGCGCCCCCACGCTCGGTGAGCAGCAGAGCACGCTCCGTCTCCAGCACGCTGTTCAGACGCTCCAGTACGGCATCGTCTGCTAGCGAGATCTCGTCAACGAGGAAGGTGGCGCCCTCTTTCATCGCGCGTACCAGCGGCCCGTCGCACCACTCAAACAGCTTCGTCTGAGCGTCGTCCTGTGCGGGGAGGGAGAGAGAGATGTCAGACATCTGAGATGCAAGACATCTGAGACATTGGCTGTGAGATGCGAGACATCTGAGATGTTGGCTGTGAGATGCGAGACATCTGAGACATTGGCTGTGAGATGCGAGACATCTGAGATGTTGGCTGTGAGATGCGAGACATCTGAGACGTTGGCTGTGAGATGCGAGACATCGCTGAGACATGGGCTATGAGATGCAAATTCTGAGATGTGAGGTGTGAGACGCGAATTCTGATATGTGAGACAGGAATTCTGAGACATCACTGAGACGTGAACTGTGAGACATGACTGTGAGACATGGATTCTGAGATGTGAGGCATGAGAAGCGAATTCTGAGACATGACTCTGAGACGTGAACTGTAACAGGCTAGTGCATCATGGAGGGGCGTGAATCGCGTGATGAGGGGAGAGACACATACCTCGATCGAGTCATGATGTCTCACGGGTCTCAGCCCGCCAAGGAAATCCGACGTCTCCGTGTGCATGTGGCAATTCACCGAGTACAGCTGCTGTCCTGCCAGTGCGGCAAAGAGCTGGCAGATGGTCGTCTTACCACACCTGGTGGGCAGAACACGAGGTAAGTTTACTTTTATATACTTTTACATCTTATTCTACTATATCTTTATAATATCTCTCCGGATAAAGACACGGTAGACGATCGTGTGAATTATAACAGTACATTACTATATTATATATATATATAACTATATATATACTAGCATATAAGCCCATACTAA